GTCAGCAGTACAATTGTTTGTATTGATCTTGGCCTTGCTTTTCAGTGATTTTTTTTACACATAATGAAAAGAAGTACAACCGTGATGAATAAGACTTAAGCAGTGCTCTGCCAGCATTTGCTTTACAGTGTAGTCAACCAGATGCTACAGAGAAATCCAAGAGTAGAAGGGACCAATGGCACTCTTCTCCCTTGATGTCTCATGTATACATGATGTATTCATCCATGTATTTTTTGCTCTAGGAGACAGCAATCTCTCAAATCCCCTTGATTAATCATTCTCCTCCTCCTTCCTATGAATAATACAATTATTACATTGCATTTATATCCCACCATTGGTTATCAAGGATCTCTTCTTTTCATTATGGCTGAGAGGCAGTGACTGGTCAAAAGCTTCCAAGCGAGTTTCATCCCCAGGTGGGCACATTCTTCTGGAACCTCAGTCCAGCACTCTGAACCATGACCCCACACCAGCTCTCAGCCATCCAAATGGGTGGCCGGCACTACCTCCAGTGCAAGTCAATGCAATAGTTTAATGCTGGGCCCTACAAGTAGCTCCTTCTATCCATTCCAAATATCCCACCAATGAGCTTCACAGGATGATCCCAATGTCTGTAGCTATGGAGAGGAGAGAAATTTTCCTCCCTTTCTCCACTTGTGTGTCTCTCTCAGGGCCCCACTTCCTTACATTTTTCCCCCATGATGAACAGTTCCAAATATTGCAATGTCTCATCATAGCAGATTTGCTCCTTTCACTTAACCATGTGGCTGCTCTTTTCTGCTCCTTTTCCACATCTATGGTATCCTTTCTTTTGGGCCAGAAATGCATGCAATAACTGAAGTGAGGTCATACTATAGATTTGCTTATGGACAGAAAAATATTGATAAGTTCATTCTCAATTCCTTCAGTAGTGATATCCAACATGGTATTGGACTGTCACAGTAGCTGCCCAATATTTCTGTTTTACACCAGTACCCAGAAGCTCTTTCAAGGTCCATCAGCACCAGGTCAGTTGAATCCACTTATGTGTAGATATGGTATTTTGTTTCCATCATCATCATTATTGTCATCGTCCTCCTCCTCCTCCACCTCTTCTTGCCTCAGTGTCCATCACTGGATTTAAATGGCCTAAATAATTTAACATCATCTGCAAACTGGCCACACATTGCTCACATCAAATTCCAAATAATTATGAACAATTCATACCCCTCCATTGGGATGGTCGATCATTTATTCTGACAGTCACCTTTTGACTGCTTAGCCCATTATCTTCAGAAGAGGGCCTCTCCTTTCATTCCAGGATTGCTTCATTTGCTGAGGAACTTGGGTGAAGGGCTTTGTCAACAGTTTTGGAAATTCAAGGAATTTCTGTGATTTCCCAACCAGTCTACAGGTGAAGAACTCTCAGAGGTAGTGAGAAAGGGGGTTTCTTTCTGATTCATTTTCCATCTTTTCTCATGTTTGCTTCAGAATCTCAGGCGGTTTTTCTGAACCATTATTCCAGGTAGAAGAATCAGCTCAGCTTGAAACTCAGAAAACATTGGAAAAGAATTCCTTCAGCTTCTCTGTGATCCTGTTATCCTCCTTTAGACAGGAGACCTCGATCTATCAAACAGCAGTCCAACTGACTCCATTTCTGAGTTCCTGCTTTTGATGGACTTAATGAATTCTTCATTGTTGCCTTGGTGCTATTTTAAAAAAAGTTGTGGCATGTTGCTGTCCTTTTTAGTATAAAATCTATTAGAAATCTAAGTAGAATGACCAATTTTCTCTTTTGCAGTTTCCTTCTTCTGAGATACTGGCACATCTTGGCCTTCCTATTTGCCATTCAGGAGGTCAACCAGAATCCCAGAATATTGCCCAACATCACTCTGGGCTACAGCATCTA